GGTATTACTAAGGTATATTATTCTACAGATACATACTCAATATGATTGCTTTTTTTTGTACCAGAATAACACAATTTAAACAAAACACAAGGCATTGGAATCTATCGGATATTTGTGTATATATATATAAAAGTTTCAATTCTTGTCCCTTGATTTTGCATTGAAGAAAGTGTCAGGAGGAATTTTTGACCACCCTAGAATGTGGCAGCATTCTGAAAAGCTATGTGCTTTGTATTTTCTAATTAAGACAGAAATTGTACATATAATCCCCCTGCTAGTAAGAAACTGAGACTTAAAAAATCAAAAGTTTCTTGGTTTTTTTAATTGTACTTCTACGTCATTCTGTGTGGCTACACTTCATCTAGACAGATAGACAACTCAAACCAAAGAGGGAACACCATCATCAAATAGATCGTGCAATACATTATTGGTCCAGTTTGTGAGAACACAGTTTAAAATTACAATAATAAAATTTGACCTGCAGACTCAAATTTGAGACTTCAGCCATTGACTGAAGCATACCCTGGCCCTTCAAAAAGAGGAAATGCACAATATCTCCAGTCTTGGAAAGTTCCTGATGCTCTTGCCCCTTACAGAAAGCACAAGGCCTACCACAAGGTCAGAAGTCTTAAGCCACATCCTAAGAAGTTTGCCCTATTATTGTTGCAGTTGGCTATTTAGTTTTCTTTCTGACACACTACAGACAGAAAGAGCACCTTTAGGGTCTGATTCTGCATTTCTCAAAACACCCACTGAAGTCCATAAAAGTATAGTGTACCTGGAGACTGTAGCATCAGGCTCCCAATTACTGTTTCGTTACTCAGTGAAATCTTACCTAAAGGTTTAATTATATAACTGTAACAGATATGTATTACTCTATTTTTATTTTTTCTTATCTGCAAGATGTCGGGAATTTGCACAGACCACTCTTTGAGAAGAAATATTAAAGAAATGTAAATTGTCTGGATGCCCAAAAGTACAGAATAGAGGTATCTCTTCATTTGAGAACTGAAAGGTTTAATATTCAGACTAATATTTCTCTTCTGCAGCTAAGGCATTGGATTTCTAATCTGTCAACAGTCTTTTTTTATAAAGGAGATGTATGGATATTTCTATCCATTTTTAATTAAATTTTATAAATTATGATCTGTATATTATTACCTCTGAGTTGCAAATTGACTAGAACACATAAACAAATATTAAAAGGACTGAGGCCCTGATCTGCTTCCCATGAAAGCCAGTGGAAGGAGAGCCATAAATTTCTATGGGAGAATTGCAAATAGTTTTGTGCTAAAGGAAGAATTGTGGCATCAGGTGAAGCAAAGTACAAAAGAAATGTAATTAAAGTACACAACGTTATCATATGTTCAAAAAAGTTTAAAAATCTTCAAATTTTACAAGCATTATATTTTTCAGATTTGAATAACTTGAAAAGAGAAAAAAGTATCTTTCAGCAATCTCAACAGATATTTTAGGCTGAAAAGATATTTAGGTAGAATGCAGGATAAGGCCCAGAATGTTTATGTTAAACAATAATAAATTGTCTATGCTGGGAAACTCAACTTGAACTGCAGCTGCAAAGGTTTCTTTCCTCTTTTCTTATCGGTTTTTTTTCTCCCCTAACTGATCTGGTTCAGCCAGGGCGTAGCTGTAATTACCTTCTTCCCATCTACAGCTAATACCTCAGAGCAATAAAAAAAACTGAGGGTGTTAAAATTTCAAACACTAGTTGTGGGCTGTTATATTTACTAAACACAGCAGAGTAGTAACAAAAGTTTCATCTTCTTGTGGCCAGCACTGCTCTGTTTGATCTACCAAGTCCCTGGACCTTTTGCACTGACTATATTATATAACGGTTAATAGCACACTAAAATAAAATTCGATAAACACACTTATTACCAAACATGTACAGCAAAATCACTTACAGCTGTCTCCTTTTTCCAGCACAGGGATATCTCCGAAGAGTTCATTCCTTTGTTGATTTTGGTTTTGGTTTCCAATTAGGTGATATAAATAGTAGAGCAGTGGATTTTGAAAGGGGAAGCATGCACTATTTGAGTACCTCATTTAAAGTCTTATGGTAATAAGGTAATATGGTAATAAGGTAATATGGTAATAAATATTGGTTAATCCTACAACTGTTTCTGTTACTTTCCCTTTTTCAGGTTTTCATGTCTAGCAAACCAATAAAGCTGAGAGCTGTCTTAGTTCCTAGTTCAGCACTGCCACTGTCACCACTACTACCTCTCATACTCATGTTAAACACACAGAGGGTAGCTTTACACCACTTAACAAGAATAGAGGGGTATGGATTTTTGGGGTGTCAAACAGCTGTCACAAACTGTCACCTCCTCAAGAGAAACCTTGGCACACAACAAATTAACCTACACTTCTTTTGGGCTATCATTATTCATAGCCAATCAGTTGAAATGCTCCTAGTATTTCATGTGCAAATAAAACCATGAGGGGAAGACCCGTGGATCAGAATAGCTGGCCAATACATAAAACAGAGGAAACAACACGCTGTCTCTGTCCTTCTGAAGTGGCTCATCATCTCCCCTGCACCAACTTTCACCAAATGAGATCTAGCCTGAGGCTGTATATTAAATATGTATATCAAGGCAAATGAAAAAAAATAAACCTGGAGAGTCAAATTGGACAAATTTGCATGCTTGAACTGTTACATTTCCAGGTAGATGTTCAGAAATGATAGCTCATTTTTAAATAGACTTGCATGATTATATTAACCATTTTTTTAAGCTTTTCCTTCTCTATGAATAAAGGTGGATTTCTTCCTGCTGGAACCTTGTACAGTGCAAATATAAAACATGGTAGTTTGACTAAGCTATAAAAAAGTGTTAAAGTTTTGTCAGGAAAACAAGCTAATATACAAAAAAAAAAAAAATCCAATAAGGAGACACATTTCCCAAAACGCATGAATAAAATGTAACTATGTGATACAGCTCTTCATTTCCCAGTTGGTGTTCTGGTTGCACAAATTATTGCTTCCTTTCAAAACAAATAGCAGGGGGCTAAAGTAAAAATGTTATAGCTCAAATCTCCAGGAAATAAAAGGCTTTAAATTATAATACCCAATGAAGTGGTAAACCCTAACGGGTGCAAGATAAATGGGTTGTCATATTTATTTTAGTTTGTTTTTGGGGCCACAGATTCTTCTTAGGGATGATAATAGTTACCAAATTATCAAAATGCTAACCCCCTCCACCTCTGTCCTATCATTGTGTGTGAATTTAAATATTATAATGGAGCACTGCAAATTGGCTTGAGCATTTGCCATCTGCCAGAACCCTAAACAAGCTAGTTTATCTAATCTCTTCAATATAAACATAAGCATGCTCCATTTCTACACTTCCACTTGAAACACAGGCTTGTAAAGAAACTGTACTGGAGAAACATGTTAGTTTTTTTCTGTTTCTCTAAATTTTACACAATGAATCACTATCTTTCAGTGTGCCACTCATTTCAATTTCTTTTCTAGTATTCTCCCAGGATACTTATGCCCACTAATTTAGGGTTGTAAAATGCCATGATACAAATATTTCTGAAATTGTGTCATGATTCATGGAGTTTATTATCTACATGTGAGATAGCTGATAAGCAGAGAAACTTTCAGGAAGCTCTGCATACCTTTTTCTCTCAAAATAATAGATTTGAAATGTAAAACATAGCACAAACCTTGTCCTGCAATGTTTACTGAATACAAATGAGAAAATGAAAGCTAAGGCTTGGGTCCCAAAATATTTCCCATAACTAAGTCGTGCCAGAAGGGGGACATTAGAAGACTTTATTATTATTTTATCTCCCAATTCAGCTTCAGTCCAGGTCTAATGTAATTATCAGATACTCACACAAACAACATGTTTTCAAAGGAAACAAAAGCTCCTAGAAAGCTCATTCTCCCTGGGCTTGCAGCTACTCCTCTTAACACACTGGGAAATAAAGGCAGGCGCCTGTGCAGAAAGCATGGTTAACTTCACACAGGGTGTTAAATTAATATTTCAACCACTAAAATATTAGACTGTATCATTTAGATTAGGAGTTCAATTGAATCTAAAACTGTGTAAACCCCTTTACCCCCCAGGGATGCATTCCTATAAATAAACTAGAGTTCACACCCACTCTTTTTAACCAGAGCTATTCCTTCCCTTTTCTGCGGTACCAGCTGCAATCTTTCCGTTCACATCCCGAAGTCTCTTTGCATCTACATCTTTTGAAGGATCACAAGAGCCGCTCCAAAACCCGGAAAAACAAAGGCATTCTCCTCACCACGCACACCAACATTTAGTCCTACACACATTACACTAATCCACCAACTCCTAAAGTGTTAAAATCAACCGCTAACCTATGGTTACTCAATCATCAATCTCTCCAGCTTTCTGTAATACATTGTTAATAATTGCTTCATCAAGGTTACTGTCTTTTATTATGAAGATGCTTCAGGCATTTGGCAATAAGTCCATATTCTGACAATAAGTTGCTCTAAAGCAAAAGCATTGGAAACTCTAATGTGCTAACCCCCTTTTTTTTTTAATGCAGTGTGGTATTGCCAATAATTCTCATCACTTGTCATCCCCCCAAGAGGGGAGGGGGGAGCAAATCAGCAAACTTTCTCCCTAACTTTCTTGTCTCAGTTTCCTTACATTGATGCATTGATTACAAAGTTGGCAAAGAAGAGGAGAAAGCACCTATCCCCACATCAAACAGACAATTTGCTAGCTCTCCAAGCAGCCCAGACCAGGAAACTTTACAAACCATTCCAAACTCGATGCTTTACAGATGGAAACTGAGGGAACCTTTTGAATTTCTATAACTTTACAAAGCAAGAGGGAAGAAAGTGTGAAGATGGGATCTGAGCTTGCAAGAGGTTAAAGTAGTAATAATACTAATAAACAACAGCAGCAAAGCAAGGAAATTGGGAATAGGTCCTCTAAGCAGGTTAAAGTCTCAAAAAATGCCATAAAGAAAACAGAAGGACTTACATGATCGGCTAAATTTGTGGAAGATCCTGAGAGTTCTTCGTGGTCTGATTTGGAGCTGCCATCCCTTTCATCAATAACAAGGTCTATTGGCATTTTTCCTTTCAAACAACTAATGTACCGATGGCAGAAGTTATCACACAATTCATGAACCTGAAAAGAATAACAAGAATAATAGTATCAATAATGGCAAACTATCATATTACAACTTTTTTTTTTTTTTTTGGTAGCAAGGACAACCCTCTGTTCTACTCCACAAGTAACTCTAATTAAGGGGGACAATAGTTGAAGGCAAGGAAACAATAGAGAAATTGTTGCGGCACATATTATTCTCTAGAGACTTGCCGCAGCAACAAGTTAGAGAGAGAGATAGTGGGCTTGGACTGGTGCGCAGAATAAAATCAGATTTGATGATAACATCAGAACACTGGGAGCTGGACCCAGACGGTACCTCCGGAGCATACACGAGCCGGACAGGTACAACTAGTCACTCGGGACGGGATTAGTTTAAACCGGGGCTAAAAACAAAGGTCTAAATGGTCGGGAGCAGTAAAACGAAGCTACTCGGTGAGGTTGTGGTTAGAACCGTTCTAATCCCAGGACACAGCCCCCTGCCCACACCGCACAGGGGCCCCTGCCTCTTCCAAACATTTAGTGCTTGCTTGGGGTTAATGTGCCTGCCAGAGCTGGAGAGGGGAGAGAGTGATTTCATATCTTTTTGTTAAACATATTATTTCTGAGTGAGGAAAAGAATATCTACTGAGGGAAAGGGCAATAAGGATGGAAGGGGTTTAACATATTAAATATTTAAATTAGACAACACACACACACATGAAAAAAAAAAAAAAAAAAAAAAAAAAAGCCGGGCTGGGCCGGGCATGCCTGTCGGGTGTCACATGTTCTGATGGTACAGGTTATAGTGTCACACTGCGTTTCCCCTCTCTCCTCTGGCCATGTTTACAAGTCAGTCCAGTCGGGAGGGAAGGGCGGGGTGGGGGAGGTGACGACAGGGAGGGAATAGCATTCCCCGTGCCCATCTCCGTGGCTCTTACCTTTTCTAATTCCAAAAGATGAAACCTTAGTACTTGTATTGCTTGGATCATCTGCAAGAAAGTTTTGAGCAAGAGGTTACGTGAGAGACAGGACCACGGGGGCTGTGCAGAGCTGCGAGCCCAAGTGGGCAAGGGGGAGAAGGGCATTGTCAGGGCGCGCAGTCATTATCCAGGATTTTAGCTCATTGGTCACGCTTCAACAATTTTGATCAACTTTAACCTAAGCACTTGATTTTTATCGTATTTATTCCAGGAGCGGTGATTAGCGCTTTATTACCGCGATCTTGGAGAAAACCTTTTCCTCTTCTCCTTGCTCCCTTCTCAGCACCCCGGCCTTCATCCCTGAGGGTCCGCAGAGAAGTCAATCACACGCTCCCACCCCCACTCCCCTCCATCCCCCGGGCCCGCAGGAGAAAGGGTGGTGAGTGTGTGAATAGTTTAGCATCTTTTTTACAAGCGGATTTAGGCACTTTGAATATTGAAATCATTCACATTACCAAAAGAATTACGTTAGAATTCTCCATCTCTCTCTTCTTAAGAAGTTATTTCCTTCACTTTAGCTTCCCATAGCTTTCAAACGCAGCTTTGCAATGCATAGGGCTCGAGAGTTTGTCCTGGCTCTTTTTTAAGAGTGCAGCTCTTTGAAGCCCCTTGACTGCAACTCCCCGGTCGGCCGGCGCCCCGCTCCCCTGCCCACGCAGCCCGGGTGCCTGGGCCGGCAGCCGCTGCCCCGCCGCACGATCTGCCCCCGGCCTCGGCGCGGAGGGGCGCTTGCCGGCAGCTGGCAGAGGGGTCGGGAAGGACGAGAGAGCAGTGGGGTGGAAGGGGAAGCAGGCCTTACCAAATTGTCCAACTCTGGATTTGAAGAAAAAAGTGGTTTTTCGGCGCGGACCTGCAAGAAGAAGGAAAAGCGGCGTGAACTACAGCTTCTCTTTTTAGCCCTGTAACCGGATCACTCGAAGGGGGAAAAACCCGTGTGACAAAACCGGCTGCTACCAAAATCCGACTGATCGCCCTGGGTCACCGTGCTTGGAGAGAAGCTGCCGGCCAGGCGCCGAGCCGGCCGCCGGTGACACGGGAGCCCTCTCCTTTGGGTCTCCTGCCTGCCTCCCGCTCCCTCTGCCTCCAAAACTCGGCCACAGCTATCTTTCCCTATCACTAATGCAGGAGGGCGAGGGCCGGGAGTCCCAGCCTGGCAGCGTGGAGGAGCTGCCGGCGGAGGGGGAATTAGGGCCAGCCGGGCCACCAGCGCGCACCCCCGCCCCGCCGGAGAGGGGGCACCGAGGGGGAGGGGGTGCTACCCCTGCCAGCACCCGTCCGTGTGGGTCGAGGAGCTGAGGAGGCGGCGGGAGCGCTGGGGAGGGTCGGGGGCGGGCGGAGAGGTGCCGAACCTGTTTGGCGAAGACGGCGATGTCCTCGTTGAAGGAGTCGGAGGAGCAGACGTCCCCGCCGGCCACGCCGGGCTCCCGGGGCGTGCAGGTCGCCAACTCGCACTTCTCAAAGACCAGAGCTAAGAGGGGGAACAACGGGTGCCTACCGGGCAGTGGCACACAAAGAGAAGGGAGGGGGTGGAGGCAGAGGGGGAAAGAAGAACTCTAATCAACAAGTATTTTTTTTTTTTTTTAATGCATGGACACACAGACATGGACACACGGACACAGCCACACTCTATAGCCTAGCAGTAATGCTCTGGGCAGAGTAGGAGAGAACAACATTTTGAAATAAAAATGATGAGGTTTGTAGTGGATTGTTTTTTGTTGGGTTGCTGGGTTGTTGGGGTTTTTTTGGTTTTGGTTTTGGTTTTGTTTTTTTTTTTTTTTGAAATTGCAATACCCGAACCGCATCCCCCGTTCAGTCCTCACAGATTAGGACAAAAGTGACCGCTCCTCCAAATGCACAAGGTACCGAATGTGCTTAGCAGCAGCTCAGCTGGGAAGCTTACAATTTTTGCCACAGCTTAACATACCGCAAAACGTGGAAGATCCCATCCCTACCCTCCAGCTATGACCTAAAACGAGAGCACAGCTAGGCAAACTGCAAACTCCTTAATACGTAATTTTATTTTTCAAGGGGCCTGCTAGCAAAAATGTGGTGAAGTTTCCTGGCTTAGGAAGCACACCCAAGTAAAATACCATCTGTCCAGATAAGTGAGCAGGGGAGGGGGCGGAGGGAGGGAGCACTTCGTGAAATATTTTCCCATAGTTGGTGTAGTCAGAAAAAAAAAATTATCTGCGTGTTAAGTAGTAATCATGCGTTTGCTTCTTTTCCCCTTTGGTGTCTGATCAAGGCCCCACACTCTGTCATAGATGTTACTAGCTCTCATTTGAGGATCATTTAGTATTTTTTCCAAAAGGAATTGAAGGGAATTGGTGTCATTCCCTCCAAGTAATGCCCTGGTGCCTTGAGTTTTGCTGGGTATGTGTCTCTTTTCCTCATGTTCTTTCTTAAGTAGAAAACTCATTTCATTGCCCCCAATGTATTTATGTCTTCTATCTCAGGGAAGAGCTGTTTGCAAGAAGCGAATCCCTTTCATTCTTACTATCTTCTGCGTTGTGAATAGCTCTTTATTTACAAAGTTGGGAGAGTGGTATTGTGGCATGGAGGAGAACACCAGAACAACACTTCTCCAACTAAAATTCAAAGCAGTGAGACCCGTCTCTAACTCCTAACTGTGGCCTTTCCAAGAAAGACAAAAAAACCCCCACGGGTAAGGAAAAGGGGGGTGGGGGGAGAAAAAAACCCTGAGTAAATAAAAAAGAAAAATGGAAGGACAAGGTAACACCACCTCCCCCAAGCCTAGCCTCTCTCCCCGAGAGGTCTGTTTTTCCAGCACCCGTTTCTCGTGGGTGCTGGTACCTCAGCTAAGAGTCAGGCTGGGATCGCCCTCGTCCCGAGATCGCCAGCCGCGGCGGTGCCACCGCGGAGGTCTCCCAGCAGAGCGGGCGGCTGGTCGGCCACCGCCCTCCCGCTGGACCCTCCGGGGCTCCTCCCGCCCCACTCCACTCCCGGGGCCCGATTGCCGCTGCCGCACGCGGCCCCGACGGAGCCCTGCCGCCGCCCCCCAGCTTCTGCCCTGGCCGCTCCGCGGGCACCAGCTGCGGCGCCGGCCCGGGCGGCCCAGCGGCACCTACCCGTAGATCGCATCCTTGTCCCGCTTCAGGGCGTCGTTGACAGCGGAGCCCATGCTGGCCGGCATGACATTGGGGTGCGGGGCGTGGGCGCCGTAGTGCTGTCCGGCGTGGAGCGGCGGCCCATGGTTGAGGTGGTGCACCGGGGGAATCGGCCGGGGGGCGTGGGGGTCCCCGTACATGGACGCCGGCACCCCTACTCCATCCATCCCGCCGTAGTGGGGCAGCTCATCGTACTGTCAAAAAATGGGCCGGAAGAGGAGAAAGAAAAAGAAAGAGGAGAAGAGAGAGGGGAATAAAAAAAAAAAAAAAACAAACCAAACAAACAACAACAACAAAAGTCAGAAGAGAGTAAAGCACCCGGACAGACACAAACAGAGCAAAACAAAACAAGAACAGCCACAACAGAGAGAGAAATGCGCAAAATGAAATCAATTGGGACCGGGAGCAGGGACTGGAGAGGCTGAGGAAGGAGTGGGGGTGCGGGGAAAGGTAAAGGGGGAAAGCGTGTATGCCTGCCTGCGTGTGTGTGGGTAGACGGTCCTCTTCAGCACGGGCAGGAGAACCCCTAACAAGGAAACGGGAATGAAAAGGAAGGAAACGGAGGAGAGAAACTAGAGTTACTCTGCATTAGAGAGAAAGAACAACAACAAAAAAAATTAATAAACAAGCAGAATCAAAAGCAACTAGGTAAATAAATGAACACTAGGAAGGAGAGAGGTAAGGTAGGGTGCATGGGGAGGGGGGGAGATAAAGGGGGAAATAATCTGAAAGTTACCAGAAACATTATTTAGTAGCAATTCCCCTTGTCCTTGTCAAAGCCAGAGACAAAAAAAAAAAAAAAAAAGGTGCAGCTATATGTGTATACATATATTATACATCATATATACGCAGACACAACACCATGTATTCTTAAGTCCTTTGCTAGAAAAAGTGCAGTAGCGGCGGCAGCAGCAGCAGGAGCAGCAGCAAGCTCTCCCCTGTGAAACCCGTGCTACTGAGCAGGCAGAAAGCAGGGAAATCGCTCTGCTGGGGGAAAAGCTAGAAAGGAAAAAAGCGTGGAACAATTGCAGAGACACACACAGAGAGACACTCATGCACACACACAAAAAGCCAGTGAATAATTTTTTGCTGCTATTTTTTAATAGTGGCCGCCATCATCAGCAGCAACAGAGGAGAGCAAATCGGACAGGCCCCTCTTAAGAGAGGATTTATATATAGGTAAGTGTTGGAGATTTAAACCTACCCTTTGCGCCATCAGTCTGCGCTCCAATAAACTCCTGGATGTGTCGTATATTTAATATCCCAGTCCAGCAAAGAAAGTGATTTAGAGTGAAGAAGATTCCTTTTTTTTTTCCAACCCACTTATAGGCTTCTCCTATTCTCCAATATGGGTAAATAATAATAATAACAACAACAACAATAACAACAATAATATATAAAAAACAGTCAAGAACCACGATGAGTTTCTGAGTTTTCTTCTTTTTTCTGTCTCTTTCTCTCTTTCCTTTTTCTCTCTCTCTTTTTCCTTTTTTCTTTCTCTACGCAAAAAAAAAAAAAAAAAAAAAAAAAAAAAAAAAAAAAAAAAAATTGTCAAGCCCCCAAACTGAAGGTTACGATCGGCCCGTCAGCAACCCACATGTAACCAAACTGTCGTGTCTCATGGCTTTTTGCCACTCCAGCTGTCAATCAAAGCCAGGGAATGTCAAGGTAGTGAATGAATGATGGTTGATGATGATGAAGAAGAGAGGAGGAATCTTTTTAACCCCGGTTTCTTCTTCCAGGAACTCCGTGGTCGGGTTTTGCCTTTTAGGATCGCTATAGGGTTGTTGGTTTTTGTTTTTTTGGTTTTGGTTGTTTTTTTTTTTTTTTAAGTACTGTGAAGGGGGGTGGGGAAAGATGCGAAGAAAAATTGAATAGTTTGCAAAGCCCGGACTTCCCCCTCTCTCCTTTTTTTTTTTTTTTTCCTCCCGGCAGGTATTTTGTCTCCCTCTCTCCCTCGCTCCCTGGGATGAGTGAGTGTCAGTAAGTGTTGGCAGGTTGGCTGCCGGCTGCCTTATAGAAGAGGCTCAGTTTTGCAGCGCTGATCGGCGGGAGAATGAAGTGACGGAACCCGGAAGTAGTGGTGGCCATAGCCAGTCCTGCAGCGCGGCGGCGGCGCGGGGGAGCGGCGGCGGCGGGGCGCGGGGCGCGGCGGCGGGCGCGGGCGGCGGGGCGCCCATCCGGCGGAGCGCGGGGATGCGCAGCGCGGCGGCGGGCCGGCGCGCCGCCGCGCGGGGTACCGCGCAGCAGGCCCTGCCCGAGAAGCTACGCGTTGTAGGAAGGAGCGAGCGAGCGTCGCGAGCGGAGGGGGGAGGATGGAGCGGGAGGAGAGGGAGGGAGGCAGAGAGGGAGGAGGAGGGAGGCGAGGCAGGGGAGGAAGGACGGGATGATGCTTGCTGTGCGAAGAGGGGTGAAGCAGGGAAACTGCAGAGAGCGAGAAGAAAAGTGCGGTAGAGCCCGGCCCCGTGCCGGCTCACGCTGCGTTAGTTGAGCAGCAGATACCTTCGATGTTGCCGCCGTGTGGGGCGCCCGGCGCGGCGCGCGGGCCGCTCGTCCGGTCGCGGGCTCTCGCCGCTTGCGCGCGCGTGGCGCGAGCGTGGGGCTCTTGCGAGCTACAGCGCGCGGGGGGCCGCGCAAGTTGCTCTCTCCCGCGGCGGCACCGATCCGACGATCCGCCCGCGCCCGGCCCGCCGGCCGCCGTGCCGAGAGCGGGCTGCTTCCCTTGACAGAGCATTGTGCTCTCTAAAAATTAATTGTTCGTCAGGGCTGGAGAGAACGCTCATTCAAGCCGTGTTGGGCACGCCTTCATTATGCATCTCGGCTATTCAGAGCACGCTGTGGTGTCTGGGGGAGGACGGAGGGGGAAGAGGCGGGGGAAGAGGGAGAAATCCTTTAGTTTTGCGATTAGGCTGCCAGGCTTTGTAAAGGGCTTAAAAACAAAGTCATGCTCAGCCTTTTGTAGGAGAGATCCAGATGTTATGTAGATTTCTGTTTGCATGTTCGTTTTGAGCGGATCTGGCGGTGAGCGCTGTATTTACGTGTGTGTTGCAGGACTTCAACGTTTTTCGACGTTGCGCTTGTGGAATGTATGCCGGAGTATTAGCTCGGTAATGCCTTCTAATGGTAGTGCTAATTACAGTGGGGTTATTTAGCAAATTAAGTGAGATGATGCACCCCCCACCCTTGAGCACCAAATGAACTTTTCCAAACACACAGGCGCGCACACACACACGAGTTAATTTTGGTGCGTTTCTGTCGCCCAATCACTTCGCTGGAGCTATACCATGCCTTACCTCAGAGCAGTCAATTACCAAAGCTACCCGGGATCATCAATCATGGGGGGTGCTTGAAGTTTAGGGGAGGAGCGATGGTCAAACTATCGATTGCTGCAGTTTTGTCCTCCCCAACCCCCCACCCTCGTTCACGGTCCCCTGCACATAAAATCTAAACCAGACTATCCCGTTAATAGTGGGATTTATCAATGATTATGTACCCGATTGTGAATGTGGCCTCATACATAGATGGCTTTTGAAAATACACGGCAGAAAAAATGATATTCAGTTAGATTTTGGTTTGCTTTGCTTTTCATGATGATGACGATGCTTTTCACTGGGTTTTTTTTTGTTGTTGTTTGGTTGGACTTTTTTGGTTTTTGATTTTGTGGTTGGTTTTTTTGTTTGTTTGTTTTTTGGGTTTTTTTGTTTGTTTTTTTTTTTTTTTTAAACTTTAGGAAAATGACTCAAGGGATGGGTATAGATATTTGGCCTGATTTTAATAGGCGAAGGGAATGAGCTCCAGAGGTCAATAAACCCCTCCAAAATGATGAATGATTGAGTACCTGTGATGATGATAGTGATTACCGGAGCAATTAAACAGTTTGATTAAATGAGCCATCATAACAATGATGTCTGCGGGAAATCAGCCCTCACATATAAAGAAAGATAGTGTGGAGGGCTGACAAATGCCAGTGGGCATTCCTGCGTGTTCCGCTAGAGCCGAGCCTTGCAGAGCAGGGCTGTATTTACAAATATGAGGGGAATATGGAGAAAAGTCCCTCTCCTACTTTTAGCGAGAGTTGCACCCTGCTTAAAACCCACCAGAAGCCGGAGAGCAGATCCGGTTTGTTTTTTTTTTTTCCTAGAGGATCTACAAGATTAAAGCTAGTCCCAAGAGCAACCGAATTGCTGTGACTGACTTTCACGGGACTTTAAAGAGAGGTGAGTAGAAGAGCCCTTAGTATGTAGATCTCTTTCAAGCAGTGATTAAGTCGATTCATTTCGTAGGGAAAAAGTCAGCCTTCTTGTGCAGTATTTTTTACTCTGTCGTATAAATCGGTAACGTAATTCAAGATATTCATGGTAATGAATGCTTGGCTAATCCTTTGGGTGTGCGGAGACCTACAGAGCAGTAGGTTATGCAAATCCTTTCCTACTTTTACAGCGGTAGTTTTCTAACAGATTTTTTTTTTAAGAGATCTAGTAATCGGTGAATGTTATTTGGCGTTTTTTCCTTCTTTCTTCCTTCCCCCTTCCTTTCCCCCCCGCACCCCCCCGCGCCCCAGAGATGCCAGATTTCTCAACTTGCCTGGAATCATTTGCTTGTGATGCAGCCAGCTTAGAGGACGTGGTTCAAATATTTGTAGCTTCCAAACTTGTTTTTTAACCGAGGCAGTGCCTTGCCCCTTGAGGCATACAAGTGTGTCTCTTTTAAAACAGCTTTGATATCACCAAGGAAGGGGTCTTTCCTTATAACCTGGTTGTCCAAAAGTAATCTAGCTCCACTGAAGGTTCCATGTATTTGTTCAGACTTCAAGCTGTAAAAGTTCATCAGTTTTCTTCAAGAAAAGAAGTTTTTAGATGACTTGGCTCCCATAGAATAAATCACTTCATTGCTTAGAATATAATTTTAGACACTTTTTTTTTTCTTTTTGGCAATTCTGTTTTTCACAGAAGTCCCTGTAGATCTCGGTTCTCCTGACTAAGGAATTGTTAGAAAACAGACTAAAATCAAAGCTGAAAAAAAGCAGCCAAAGGTTTTTGCACTGTTCAATGCTGCTCCTTTCACTTGTTTAATTTTTGTTTTCTTTTTTTTTTTCCCTCCTAAACTAATTAACCCCCTGCGTTGTCTCGTCCTGCTGTGCATGTGTGTAATCTGGTACAGAGACCAACTTAAGAAATTATTTTAACTTGATAGAAAGTGAAATTGCATATAGTAAATGAAGGGCTTTCATGTTCCTCCTGCGTATTTTTTTTCCATGTGAAAAGACTTGAAGCCTTTTTCCTCTTTGCTCTCCCAGTGGATTAAAGCACACAGAGAACATGGTTTATAAAGCGTTACAGTTTAGCCATTAAAAAAGAATCTCAATTTAGCGCCCTTAAGTGAAAGTACTCAGCTATTAACAAAGATGCTGTTGGGAACTCGGAGGAAAATGGGACACATGCGTGCAGGGGGTGGGGGCTTTCACATACTTAGGTAATTTTTTATTTACTCCCCCCCCCCCTCAGACTGGTGCTGTTTAAAAAACAGCAATTCGGGAAAATTAAAATGGTTTAATTTCCATTTCTCCTGCATCACTTTCACAGCGAAGGCTGTTTTCAGGACAAGTGTGAGAGATGAGTTGGGGTGTGTGAGTCTGTGTGTGTTCGGGGTTTTGTTTTGTTTTGTTTTGGGGTTTTTGTTGGTTTTTTGTTTTGTTTTGTTTTGTTTTGTTTTGTTTTAATAGATCGGCTCAAAAGTCCAAAGAGAAATGAGGTGTCTGGTATGGAAGTGCATCTCAGTCAACCGCCAGCTCCTTTTGCCGAGGCTGGAAATGGTTTTAACAGGCGGTAAAATTTCATCTTGTGGTGTCAAATTGGGGTCAGTTTGGGGTTAGCGCTCTCAGTGTCCGAGCAGGAGCTGTCCAGCTGTGTGGGGATTCATTAAGGGCAAAAGATCCGTTTCAAGAAAAACAATACAAAGACAATCAGAGGGCTAAAGATCCTCTTCAAATCGCATTTTACAAGTGCACCAGAACAAATATGGATGCTGAAACCTATTCCCTTCAAACTCCTAAATCGGCTTCTTAGTCCTTGGAGGGAGTGAGAGAGAAAATCCTCTAAAACTTAAGAAGAGTCTGTTTTCAATCAGCCTTTCCGAAGTGTGGCATCTTAGTCCTTTGCTGGCTTTGAGACATGCCTCTCTCGCTCGGTCGCTACCTCCCTCTCTCTCTCTCTCTTTTTCCACAGCCTTGCAAAAGCGGATGGCACAACAGGTAATATTTCAGATTTCAAGAATAAATCCCTCCGGAGACCTTAAACTGCTGTTTTGCATGCATGTGTGTGCTTAGTGCAAGATTTAATGCAAATAGAAAGTTTTTTGGAGGAAATAAGCCATGCTTACACAAAATCCTATTGGACCCTATAGGAAATTTTGTGCTCTCCTTGTAGGTGATGCTCAGGACGCGGGGTAATTTAGGCTAGAGTTACTTTCCGGTTCTTGGCATTTGTGGAAAGCACC